GCGCAGGAGAGGAAGGCCCTCTATGAGGTGGATTGATTCAGTGACTGGGATAATTGGGATGGGAGTGTCAGAGACAGTGCCATTGGCACAAGACAGAGCGGAGTTTAGGGCTGTTGTGCATAGGGTCGCTATGAGTCGCAGGTGACTCGACGGCACATAACAACAAACAACAACAACAACAACAACTGAGGTATGAAGATGTGCAGGGAGTGGGTGGATTAATCATAGAGTTGTATAATTTGATGAGAGGGGGTGAAGGAAATTGGAAAAATATGTTCTTGAAAACAATGTATTTAAATTTTGTAAATAAACTAGTATAATAATAATAACAATAATAATAAAAAACCCAAACAAACCCAAAACAGCTGCATGCAAATCACTCTTGAGACAGAGTAGGAATTTAGTAGTCAGACTGGTTGATTCAACCAGTATACCTTTTACACACTTTCATATTCCACACAAATAGAAAAACCTATCAGTCCCAATTATGGCATCTGATGTTCCAGTTAATCTAGTGTTAATATTTCAGTGTCTACTAGGGAGCTCTGGTGGCCTAGTGGCAAGAAGCCAAATTGCAATCCTGAAGACACACAGTTTGAGGCCACCAGTTGCTCCGTGGGAGAAGGATGGGCATTCTCCTCCCATGCATTTAACTGCCTCTGAAAACCCCCTAGAGGGTCAGCTATGGGTCATTTCTGACTTGACAGTACATAACAACTATATAGCCAAATGAAAATGTATTGCTTTCTTTATAAAGGCACTGTAAATAATATGGAAGTGTTCAGACATTCAATACCTAAGTATGGACTATGCCAAGTCCTGGGATGACAACAGCAAACAAAGTTGGACACGGGCTTTATTATTCTTACAGTCTAATAGAGAGCACAGGTGACTACACTTGCACCTCTAGTGCAGTGTGGCAAATGCTATGAGAGCAGAGGAGCAGGCATCAGGTGCTGGAGGGGACAGATAATATAAAAGCCATCTAACCAAGCTCTGGTTGTCCCTGATGCTGCTGCGTGTTGTTGAGTCAATTCCAGTTCATAGCAACTTTACCGCAGAGTAGATCTATCCTACAGGGATTCCTAAACTATAAATTTTTACAATAGTATATTGCTAGTTCTTATTTCCCATGGAGAGTTTGTGAGTTCACACCATTGATGTTTGAATTAGCAGCCAAGCACTTAAATATTGCACCACCAAGCCTCTTTAGATAGTGCCAATTTGCTGCAGAAGATCAAGGCAGTCTACAATATAGATTAAATGTCAACATCAAGAAGACAAAGATTTTCATCACGGGCCAATTGGCAGCACCATAATAGATGGAGAGGAGATTGAGGTTGTTAACATTCTTGGCAGCAGCAGTCAGGAAATCAAAAGACAAGCTGCATTGGGAAAATCTGCTGTCAGGGATCTCTCCAAATACTAAAGAGCAATAATGTCAGTCTGGAAAGTAAAGTGACCCTGATCCAGGCCATGGACTTTGCAACTACGTGCTATGCTCCATGGAGCTTTACAATGACTAAGGGTGGCAGAAGAAGGACCAATACATTTTCGTTGTGGTACTGGAGAAGAGTGTTAAATATTCCATGGACTGCCAAGAGAACAGGTTTGTCTTGGAGAGGGTGAGACCAGGTTGCTGTTTAAAGGTAAGGAATTTGAGGCTGCATCTCACATACTTAGGGCATGTGGCCAAGAGGGACTCGTCCTTGGAGAAGGCTATCATACTTGGAAGGGTGGAAGGACAGTGCAAGAGAGGAAGACCCTGGATGAGATGGATTGACATAGTAACTGGGGGAGTGAAGTTAGGTGTGTCAGAGACAATGAGAATGGCTCAGAATAGGCAGGGTTAGAGTTGCTGTACCTAGGGTTGCAGGTGACTCAACAGCCAAAGCAACAACAACAAGAAAAATTGTTGGTAGAAAAGTACATCTCTTTCTGTGTTATTTCAAGCTCTGTTTAATTGTATTGTGTTTATTTTGTGAAAAAACTTCTTGAAAAATAAGGCATTTTATGCCCGCCTACTTCTGTCCCACAGGTTATTATAAGCAAAAAGAGCCCTCCTTCCTTCCAGTCCCAATTGTTTGTAATGTGCCACCAAGTTGCTTGCGACTCATAGTGACCCTATGCACAGTAGCCTAGAATCTTTTCCTATCCTGAGCTAATCTGTCTCTGAGACCTCTATGTCCATTACACCAGTTACTGTGTCAATCTGTCTCCTCCAGGACCTTTCTGTCTTTTCCTATCCCTCCATCCTTCCAAGCATGATGTCTTTCTCCAAGGATCTTAGTCTCCAGACGGACATCGTTGCTCTTTAGCACTCTGGAGAAGTCCCTGACTGCAGATTTTCCTAAAACAGTTCAATCTTTTCATTTCCTGAATGATTGTGCCACAATTGTGGAGCCAAATAAACTAAAGCTGTTAATAACCTCAATCTCTTTTCCTTCTGTTATAGTGCTGCCAGTTGGCTCTATGGTGAGAATCTTTTCTTCTTGAGGTTGAGTTTCAATCCATATTGAAGGCTGGAGTCCTTGACCTTTTGCATCAGATGCTTCAGGTCCTCCTCAGTTTGGGCAAGCAAACTGTATAACACAGGTTGTTGATAAGTCTTCCTCCAATCCTGATGCTACATTCCTCCTCATAAAGTCCAGTCTCCTGAATGATCTGTTCCACATACAGATTATTTTACTCACATACCACCCGGTGAAGTCTGTCCTCAAAAACTGTACTGTTTTTGACTGCTCAAAACTAGAAGCTAAGCATATATTTTGAGAATCTAAAACTCTTGAACATTTTTCTTTTGTGCTGTTCTCCAGGCCTGGGACGCTTCCCTGGAGTCATAGATCTGTATGGAAGTGGTGGCGGCCTTTGTGAATACAGGGCCAGTCTCCTAAGTGGACATGGTTTTGCTGTGCTTGCTCTGGCTTATTTCAAATTTGAGGACCTTCCTAAAGATTTGTCTGATATGGACCTGGAGTACTTTGAAGAGGCTGTGGACTTCATGCTGCAGCATCCAAAGGTGAGATCTGGTGCTTGCCTGCATGTAGAGAGGAAGAGATGAGGGAGAGAGACCAGGGCTGCCTTCAAAGTCCTGCCAGGAAGGCTAGGGCTGGAGCTGGGCTATGAGACACAAAGGCGCTTTCTTGTTGTTATATCCTGTCAAGTTGGGACCGATTCATAGCTGAGCCTCCAGCTGATTTTCCAAGGCTGTGAACTGTACCCATCTCTCTCCCTCAGAACATACAGGGCATTCAAACTATGTGTTTGAATTGGTAGTGCAACTCCTTATTACTGAACCACCAGAGCTGTCAAAGGTGACTAGATTATTTTCATTTTCACTCACCTGTCTAAGCCTGTAAAACTAAGTTGTTTCATTCCATTTGTAACTCTTGACCATAATTAGCATGGCACTAGTTAAGGGGTTAGTAATGAGTCTGGTTCTACATTTACAGCAAATGTAGCATTATGAAACTGAAGAAGGCATCTGCTCTCCCAGGGTTTTTTTAATACCTTTAATATAAATGTATATGTTTAGGATTTGACATTAAAAAGTTAAAGTTAAAATTGTTAGAAGCAATTGGTGGTATTGGACTAGAGACTGAGCATTTATTTATGATATTTAGGGATTATCATTAGTTTTCATAAATGTGATATGATATGGTCTTATAGGAAAAGTCCTTTATCTGATAGTGGAAAAAATAAACTAGCATATTTTGGTAAGATTGCAAGTGAAATGATTCCTACTCTTTGCTTTTAGCTAGATTTAAGAGACACAAACATTCTGCTGTCAAAAATGACAATGCTGTGTCGTCTGGCAGGTCATCTAGTTCCACCTGAGTTCAAGGAATGATCTCTTGGCAGAGAAGCCAAGTCCTAAATGTTCTTAAACTGTAACCATCGGCTAGTGCACTGGAAAATGAAGAGATCAATATATACTCTTAGCTCGGCTCTTAGACCTAGGTAAGAGGGATTCAGTCCCTATTCATTTTAGACAGTCACATTATGACTGTCACTGAGTGCACTACTACCCACATGGTGAAGTGTAAGAGGCATCTATAGAAAGTGTCCACTTGGATACTGGCCACCAGTTCTCACGGATCTGGAACCCCTGAGGTCTCTGCCTAAACAGTTCTGAGTCCAGGCACTGTACTGTGCCTCCTTCCTAGGTCCTTAAGTGAGTAAACCCATAGGCTTTAATGTGTAGGCTGTGATAGTCCACAAGTGTTCAAGGCATCCTGAGGTAAGTAAAGGAGGCATGAATGGGAAGAGGAGGGAAGATGAGCCAGGAATGGGAGCCAGTATCAGGAGCCACCTCTTCTCCCTGCCACGTTCGGTGAGACTGGTGACTACTGTATTCAGAAGGAAACTTACTTGCCATATTCTAGTCCAGAATTTCCAGGAATTATAATATGTTCAAAGTGAGCCCTTGTAAGTTTTTGTCTCAGTATGATGTCAGGGGTATCTCCAAAATACTGAAGAGCAACGATGTCAGTTTGAAGACTAAGATGCACCTGATTTAGGCCACAGTCTTCTCAGTTATCTGCTGCACAACAGAGAGCTGGACAATGAATAAGGATGACAGAAGATGAATTGATGCTTTTGAGTTGTGGTGTTGGAGAAGAGTACTGAGTATCCCATGGACTGCCAAAAGAACAAGCACATATGTCCTGAAAAGAGTGCGGCCAGAGTGCTCTTTGGAGGCAAGAATGATGCAGATTTGTCTTTCATATATGGACTTATATCTTGTTATGTGCCACTGAGTCGCTTGTGACTCATAGCGACCCTATGCACAACAGCTCTGAACCCTGCTCTATCCTAAGCCAACCTTATTGTCTCCTACGCCCATTACCCCAGGCACTGAATCAATCCATTTCATCAAGGGTCTTCCTTTCTTGTGCTGTCCCCCCCACCCTTCCAAGCACAATATCCCTTTCCAAGGACTGGTCCCTCCTTTCAACACGGCCAAAATATCTGATGGAGCTTCAGAATCCTTGTATCCAAGGAGCAGCTTGGCTTCACCCTCTCCAGGATGAACCTGTTTGTTCTCCTAGCAATCTATGGTATATTATTCTTCTCCAGCAGCACAGCTCAAAGGCATCAATTCTCCTTCTATCATCCCTAGTCATTGTCCAGATCTCTGATGCATAACAAGTGATTGTGAAGACCATGGCCTGGATCAGGCACAGCTTAGTCTCCAGACTGACATCATTATCATTATCATTAATGTTGTAGAATAAAATCATGAATATCACACACAAGCAAAATTCTGCTAAAAATGATCCAAAAATGACTGAAACAGCACATTAACAGAGAAGGGCCAGATGTGCAGGCTGGGTTTAGAAGAGGCTGTAGTACTAGGGATATTATAGCTAATGTTAGATGGAACTTGGTTGAAAGCAGACTATGCAGACCCATTTGACTGTGTGGATCACAACAAACTGTGGCTTACTCTAAGAAGAATGGGAATCCCAGAACATTTGATTGTGCTTATGCAAAACCTATACTTGGATCAGGAAGCGGCTATCAGAACAGAGTAAAGTTCAAAGTTGGGAAAAGGTGTACACCAAGGATGTGTCCTATCTCCATGTCTTTTTAATCTATATGCGGAACAGATCATTCTGGCGGCTAGGCTCTTTGAGAAGGAATGTGGCATCAGTATTGGAAGAAGACTCATCAACAACCTGCGTTATGCAGATGACACACCTTGCTTGCCAAAACTGAGGAGGATATGAGGACATTTGCTACAGAAGGTCAAGGAGTACAGCCTTCAATACGGATTGAAGCTCAACATCAAGAAAACAAACATTCTCACCACTGGGCTGATTGCTGGCATCGTAATAGTGCAGAGACTGAGATTGTTAACAGCTTCCATTTGCTTGGCTCCGCAATTAACAGTCTTGGCACTAACAGCTAGGAAATCAAAAGATGAATTGCACTGGGAGAGTCTGCTCTCAGGGACCTCTCTAGAATACTGAAGAGGACATGTAGCTAAGTGAGGCTATTCCTTGGAAAGGGACATCATGCTTGGAAAGATGGAAGGTCAGCAAAGGAGTGGACGACCTCCAACAAGATGGGTTGACAGGATGGTTTCAGCACAGGGCTTTAGTGTCTCAGAGATGGTGAGGATGGCACTGCATAGCACAGGTTTCGGGTTGGCTGTTCATAGGGTCGTTATGAGTCACACTCGACTCGATTGCACCTAACAAGTTGTTGTGGAGATGTATTTCTCTAGGTAAGAAAATATATTTAACACTTTTTAATTTGGTTTAGAACTTTAAGATGCTTATTTTTTTATTCAAAATTAAGATTTTATGGGTGTTTTTAGCAAAACAAATGAAAAAGATTTATTAAGGTGATAAGACAAAGAAAAGAAGAGGGAAGAGGGGGGAGGGACCCCCTGGAAAGATGGGATGAAACCAGACCTTACAGCATGCTGACAGTGGAAAAGGAGACTAAGAGTCAGAATTAAGTCTTGAGACGTTGTTAAGTGGATTGACAATTTCCCAACTATAACATCTGGCCCCCCACATCCTCAAAGTTCTAGCTCATTTTTCTTCCTTTTATCAGTATCACACTCAAAGTACAACCATAGGGTATATATAGACAGTGACATTAAGTCTTCTTGCCATCATACTAAGTCAGAAAGGGAAAAAGGTACTATAGGATTTAGTAAGCATCAAAAGTGTTTTAATATTCAAGAGGCTGCTGATGTTGTGCCCGATGACCTGTACCAACATTCTTACCCAAATAAAAAGGGATAATACTGTTGTCTAGTTTTTATTTCATAGTCATAAACTCTGCAATCCTGCTAAACTTGGAGAGGTAGAAAGAAAACATGGAACCCAAGGAGCTGTAGCAAGAGCACAAAGACTAAAAGCTACTGAAAGCACCCTAGGGTAGCAGGGTGATCTCTGGAGCTATAGAAGGAATGGTCTGGTGACGAAGAAAAAACATGAAATACAGATCGTGTCAGACTTGTCCACAGTCAGCAATGATGATCTTCTTGTTGGTCTTGCCATTCCTGAACCCAAAGAGCTCCATGGCTTCCACAATGTTCACGCCTTCGTTCACCTTGCCAAAGACTACACACGCTTGCTATCCAAACGTTCAGTCTTCGCAGTGTAGATAAACTTGGGAACTGTTTGTATTGGATCCAGCATTTGCCATGGATAGGATGCCAGGACCTGTGTACTTCAGGATAAAGTTCTCATCAAACTTCTCTCTGTAGATGGACTTGCCACCTGTACCATTACAGCAAGTGAAGTCACCACCCGGGCACATAGGAATGAGTCTGTGAAAGCAGGAACCCTTGTAACTGAATCTTTTCTCCCCAGTACTCAGAGCATGGAAGGTTACTGCTGTCTTTGGAACTTTATCTGCAAACAGCTTAAAGGAGAGCAGCCTAAAGGTTTTGCCACTGACAGCAATGTCAAAGTACATGGTGGGACTAACCATGGCTGGGCGTGAGGGGAGTGGACAAGAGAGCCGCTGAGGCAGCGGTGTCTGCAAATGGCCAACTTTAAGATATTTAGTTGTCAGCTTTCATGTATATATTCTTGACCATGACCCAATAAAAATTACAGAGGGCCTGTGTCCATGACAACTGGTTAACGGTTTTATTAGAAGATTCATATGAACTATGTGGATATATGAAGAAAGTAAGTAACATTAGAAAACACTGCTTATAAAATGTAAAATTGTTTACTTCCTCAAATGCTAACATGTTCTTTCTCTCTTCATCAGGTGAAAGGCCCTAATATTGGGCTTCTTGGCTTCTCCAAAGGAGGGGACCTGTGTCTTTCCATGGCCTCCTTCTTGAAGGGCATCACAGCCACTGTGCTTATCAATTCCTGTGTGGCCAATTCAATGTGTCCTCTACATTACAAAGACATGACTATTCCCAGTCTTGAAAATGACCTAGAGAAATGTAGGATCACTGAGTCAGGTTTTATTGTTTCTACGGATGTCTGGGGAAACCCAATGGAGGAACATAACCACCAAAGTCTAATTCCACTGGAGAAGGCCCAGGGGCCCTTCTTGTTTATCATCGGCAAGGATGATCAGAGTTGGAAAAGTGACTTTTTTGCTAGTATAGCCTCAAACAGATTACAAGCCCATGGGAAAGACAGACCCCAGATAATCTGCTACCCAGGAGCTGGTCACTGTATCGATCCACCTTATTTTCCTCTTCGTGTAGCCTCGGTGCATGCACTTTTTGGCCAGACAATGTTCTACGGAGGTGAGCCTGTGGCTCACTCCAGGGCACAGGTAGATGCCTGGCAGCAAATTCAAACTTTTTTCCATAAACATCTTGGCAGCAAAAAATCAGTCAAACAAAGCAAAATATAGCAATCAGATATCAGAGGCTATGAATAAATATTCTATTCATTCAACATTCATTTTCTTTGTTTGGTCAGAGGATTCGCAGCCTAATATAGCTTTCTCTACTGCTGCCACCCCACCCCACCCCACTTATATCCCCATTACCCCAGAGTTTTACTCTATGTATAGGTTTAACCATGACCTTTCTGTAGGACTGGTCTTAACCTTAAATCTCAACTTAAGGAAAAAAAAAAAAGACAACCAAAAACAAATACGGTAAGCAGAAGAAATGAAAAAGAGGTTACTTGCTCAGTGGGAGAAAGGTTGGCAGTCTCCTCTTGTAAATATTTCTAACCTTGAAAGCCAGTGGGAGGTCTCCATGAGCCAGAATTGGCTTGAGGACAGTGAGTTGGTTGGGTGAGTGCCCACTTACAAGATGCCTGGGTAGTGCACACAGTTTTTGCTGGTCTAAATGTAAAGCCTAGTGATTTGAACTCATTCAGAGAAGGAAATCCTGGTGATCTGCTCCAAATGGAGTTCTACTCTGTAGTGCATGGGATGCCAGGGGTTGGAACTGTGTATGGACAATGAGCTTGTAAGTTTAGTTTTTCTCACCTGTCAATTTCTGGCCTTCCTTCAGCTTTATGTGCCAGTTCTGAGGAATGAGTGTCGGAATTGTTCTGGAATCTCTTTATCTCCTTAGGTCCTCTCTGTCAATGTTTGAACTGTAGGAGTCTGTCCTCTTGAGTCCTTTAAGAAGCAGGTTCTACCTCATTCTCCTGAATATAGTTGACTCTTGCATAACATGGGTTACATGGGTTCTGGGGCCATGCTTAGTCAAAAATCCACATTTTAGGAGAGATACCCAATACCAGTCCAGTCAATTATGACTCATGCTCCAAAGCTATAAATCTCAACTGGTGCAGACTTTTCTTTCTCCCAATGAACAGCTGGTGGATTTGAACTGTAGATCTTTTAGCTAACAGGCCAAAATGTAACTCACTACACCACCAGGCCTCCTTCTTACTGGGAAAGAAGAGGCAACTTACTTGCACATTAATCTCAGGGAGTTGTTGGGCCCCCTCAACCCTCTGTGAAAATGCTTTCATATCAAAATAAAATAAGACTGGAGATTTACCAGCAGGGTTCAGAACAAGTCTGCTCAAACAATCAACAGAAAACATGAGGTCCCCTCTACTGGCTATCTTGTCTCATATGATGGTTTGCAGTTCTCAGATCTGATCATTCATAGGCAGCAACTTAAGTGGTACTGATCTCAGGGAGTTTTAATACTTGTGACATTTGAGCTCACATTCCAAGCCCTGAGGTTCACCACGCTAACAAAAGGAAATGTACACTTAAGTGCATAGTGCAAGCCTATGTTGTTCAAGAGTCAACTATTTATACCCCCAAATGTGTACCTGAACTGTCTCTGAATGTCAGTTTGAAGAGTGGAATCTTGAACCTGTAATACACTTCCTCTAAGTTTACCATCTGCATGGATTCCAGTCACAGGATGGTTCCATCTGCCTAAACAATTGCCTAGATACTATTTTAACCATTTCAGGAGTCCCTCAGTATGTATGTGTAATGTGTATATGGAAAGTAAATTACATCTTTTGGGCATAATGACTAATGCTGTTGTTGTTGTTATGTGCCATCGAGTCGCTTGCGACTCATAGCAACCCCATGTACAACAGCCCTAAACTCTGCTCTGTCCTGTGCCAATCACACTGTCTCTGACACACCCATCCCGATTACCCCAGTCACTGAATCAATCCACCTCATAGAGGGCCTTCCCCTCCTGCGCTGTCCCTCCACCCTCCCAAGCATAATGTCCTTCTCCAAGGACCGGTCTCTCCTCACAACATGTCCAAAGTATGTTAGATGGAGCCTCAGAATCCTTGCCTCCAAGGAGCCACCCGGTTTAACCCTTTCCAGGACAAATCTGGACTAATAGTTCAGTGAATACTAAGCTTTCTGGGACTTTAAGTTTTTTTGCTTTTTTCTCTCACATGTACAAATACACATTTAAAAAAAAACAACAAACTTATTCCAGGCCATAGGGCTACAATAAGTAGTTACAGTAAGCAATATTATTTACAGATGTATAATTCTTTAGTATAGCTTTCTCAGTGAAAGTACAGCTTGTGTTAAAACAGATACTACAAATCTCTCTTCCCCTCCCTCTTTGATCTGGGGTGGTCTTAGAGCTTTGTATTCATTCACATCAGGGAAGTTTTTCTCCTCGATCTTCTACCTGTAATTCCTGACATTTTAAGCTCAATTCAAACCCCTTCTGAAACTTTTAAACCTTTTCATTGCCTGTCTGAATTCAGTAAAGATTATTTTGAGAGCAAACACTGGAATTTGGCAGGAGTCTGTAGTTCTTGATGTTCTTAACCAAATTTAGGGAGCAGAGTCTTCTAGTGGCTCATAAGGGATTTCAGAGATTTTAATGGCCAGTGTTGTCAAAAATGACTTTCTTATTACCGATAGCAGGTTGTTTTCTCAGCCAGTCACACTAAGTGACCAGTGTCCCTTCTGGTAATCCTTTGCTGCTGAGCATCAGCAGACCACGCCCTTTCCAGCAATGCCCTGTCTTCCTAATCCCTAGGACGTGCCCCAGGGACCCAATCCTTCTCAAAGGGTGTGTCCCTTCTTGGCCCTGACCACCCAGCACTGTCCCTGTGTGCTGATCTCCAGTTGAGCTGGTGCCAGACCACACCATACTGAAGTGGATCGATTTCAGTAGCAAGCATGCCAGGCCTGGCCTGCACTCCAAATCCTCAGTGCCTTCTTCCAGTTTAGGAGATTGATGTTCACCTCTTCCTTTTTCTACTACAAGATCAGGACCCTGGCCATCACATCCCAGTGGGGCCTAGCAGAGGAGCTTCTAGATATAACCAAGGCCATTTCCACTTATGGGCTATCACGGCATGAGATAACTGCAAGGACCTAGCCAGGGACTGGGCTCTGGGCACTGACTTCAGGGGCCTAAAGCCCACGGAACCTCTACAGAGCCTCATACTCGCAAGCTTGGAGGACCTTTTCTTCCACAAAATGCTGAGGGACATAATGGAAAACCCTCCTGAAATAAGAGGTGACTGTTCACACCATGTCATTATTGATGGCAGTGTAGCTGCCTTCCAACCATCTCATCCCCTACATGCCCCAGGGTTGAGTGTCATCGTCATCACACTCAAGGGCACTGCCCGAGGGGTGTCTGCCTCGGCTACGGGGTGAGGTCTGTTTCACCGAGGGTCCTGACAATACCCATTTAGGGAATGTTTTGTCAAAGTTGGCTTGTTTCGCTAATTTATCATCTAAAGGGAGTCCCTTTTGTTCCCCAGACAACATATAGAACATTCATTCCTCTATATGGTGCCTATGATAGAAATCCAATCTGCTTGAGGATCTTTATCCTGCCAGGAGCCCACCCAGCAGGAAGTGTTACTTATGTGCACATCTTGCATGTTTGCTATACAAAGCATAACACAGCTGTAAATTCCCCAGCATTACATGTTAGGGTAAAGGTAAGCTTTGTGTTCTTATCTAACACTAATGCCTTCGAGACATTCACCATCATGAGAAACGTTTTGTTTCCCATTTCACAGACCAAGGAACTACTTCCATGTAATATAAATGAGGAAAACAAGGTTTGAAGTGTTTTCACCAAACTACACAAACAGGCTAAAATTAGGGTGTGAGTCAACCTCTTTGAGCTACAAATTTTGGTCGTCTTTAGAAATTCCATAAATTTGAGTTCAGTGAATGAAATTAATCAATTTAAAAATATATATTGGTCTTAAAAAATATATTGGTCTAACACTGGTCTTACTCCTGTTATCACCTTTCTCTACATCCCATACCTCATCCTTAAAATGCTACAAAAAAACCTTAGAGATTTTTAAACATGCTAACTGAAAGGTCAGTGGGTCAAGCCTCAGACTCTTTTACAAAACTGGTAGAGATTTTGTCAGGAAAGGAGGAATCCTAGTGAGGGGAGACCAAGGAGGCTTTCTAAGAAAAACAAGCACAAAAGCTGTATAATGTAATTTTTACCTTTTTTATATAAACATTTTACTTTTCCCTACTTAAAAAAAGACAAAATACTGAACATAAAGACAAAGCCATGCCAACTATTCCGACTGGTACCTTGCAGTTTAATTTGAAACAAGACTAGCTTGCCTGTGTACAGAGACACTTCAACATTTTTAATGGCAGTAGATGATTTCATTGTTTGGATGTAGAATAAACCCAACTTGCTGCCAAGGAGGAGATTCTGACTCAGAGACCTTCGCCCTTTCTCCCACGGAGAGGGTGGTGGATTCGAACCGGCGGAGGCCTTTAGGTTAGCAGCGAAAAGTCTCTATGGACAAGGCCACCAAAGCTCACTCAATTACGACAGTAGTGTCCTCCCTATGTCTCTTATCTGTAATTCGTTCGAGTACTCTTTCCCCGTTTTTACAATTTCTGGCTAACTTGATGGAGGAGGGACTTAAATGAAGGGTAATGGTTATCTAGAGAGGTCTTCCGTTTTAAACCTTCGGAACGGAAAAAAAAATGGTATGTGACCCCAGATAATAGAAACTACGCCCTGTAAAAAACAGCGCCTGACCACGACGTGGCCGGTTAAGCACTCATGCCGTCTCCGCCCCTCTTCCCAGACCCAGTAGCCGCATGACAGTTACCGAGCAGCAAGCGGCCCCTCCGCTGGAGGACCCCGGCGGCCGCCGCGCCATCCCACAATGCCGCGCTCGCGCCACCCTACGGGCGGAGAGAGAGGGTACACTAGTCGGCGCGGATTGGCGGAGGGCTCTGAGAAGTGCGCACGCGCACTTACCCCGGCGGGCCCTAGCAACCAGAGCAGTGACAGTAGCAACGGCCGGAATGGTGAGTTACCCTCCAGGTCTCTTAACGTTGCGAGGAGATTGGGCGTGGAAAAGGGTGACTGTGGCGTGAGAAGGATGGTGGGTGGTCAAAGAGCGGAAGAGAGTCTGGAGCAATAGCAAGCTCATTGGAGTTCGAGGCCTGAGTCGAAAGAGATGCCTGGACAGGGGTGGTCGGCTCGAGGTCAGCCTGTGTCAGCTTGGAGGTTGGAGTAAGGTAGAGGAAATGTGTCGGTAGAAAACGAAGGATAAATAGCAGGAAATATTTAAAAAGAAAGAGAAGACTAAAGTGGAAAAATGATAGGGAGCGTATGGATATGGGTATCTCTTAGCATAGAAAAATTTGCCCCTGGAGACATGCAGGGAGGGACTGATTATACGGCGAGTGTTTCTAACACCTATTTCAGCAGCATTGGTCATGTAAACCAAGTTGTCATCCAAATGACGTTTTGCACAGTTCATGGGTAGCAATGAGATCCACTCCGATAGAATATGTTAGAATAGTGATTCTGAAGTTCCAGGAGGCCAAAAAAATTCAAGATTCAGATAATAAAAGATTCAGAGGGAACAGTGATCAGGCATTTGCATTTTGACAAAGCACCTCAAACTGGCCACATGCTTTGATAAATGCTACTACTTTAGATATGAGATTAACTTACTCAGTCAGAGCTCTGTCGAGTCATATAGACTTTGACAGCATAGCATTGATGCGCCTCATTTCTACTTAAAAGTGTGCACTTTCTTTCTCATATAGTTGGAAGTTCCAGTTAGTAGTTTGGAAAGGATGTTAGCTGGTTACATACAGATCCACCCAAAACGAATATTTAGCTAAGTGTTTGATTGCCCTGCCAAATGGTAATGTTTATGAAGGATACGTTTAATTAGTTATCTTCTTTATGTGATTCCAATGCACACGGGCAGAAATTGAGCCCAGGGAATTGAAATGAAGAAGTCATATCGGCTTCAACCATTATATTAAATGCCACTCTTAATTTTTTTTTTTAAATGCCACTCTTACACGTAGTTTCCCCTGCTGCTTTCCTTCCTTCAATTCACAGGCATTTTGCTGAAGACCACTACGAAGGAAGGTAAAAAGTTCTGGAATGGAGGTTTATATGCACATTAAGAAAGAAAACTAAAAAATGAGCTCTCATAACTTGGTTGCTAAGGAGTCAGACCTCTGGTGATTTGAATCCAGCAGTGACTCTACCAGGAGAACAATGAGCAGTCTCCTCGCTGTGTGATTTGCAGTCCATAAGAATTTAGCTGAAGAACACTGACAAGGAAAGTTAAAAGTTCTGGAATGTAGATTTATATTCAGGTGAAGAAAAAAGTATTTCTAAATACTGAGAATATGAAACATGGAGACTATTGAAACTCTCCAGAGAATGAGTAATTAGATGAAACTTGTTGAAATTGCATGATCCAGAAGACTTGGGGTTTTTGGTCCACATAACCTTTCTCCATACCTATTCGGTCTGTATGCTGAGCAAATCATTTGCGATTCTATGAAGAAAAAGGTGGCATCAGGACAGAAGGAATACTCATCAACAACCTGCATTATTCAGATGACATGACCCTACTTGCTGAAAGTGAGGAGGACTTGAAATGCTTGCTGCAAAAGATTAAAGATTACAGCCTTCAGTATGGATTATGCCTCAATATCAAGAAGACAGAAATCCTTATCACAGGACCATGACTCACAGAAACTCTAAGGACAAATAATCTAAACCTTGCCCTATCCTGTGCCATCCTCATCATCTCTGATATACTTGAGCCCATTGTTATAGTAATTGTTTCAATCTAGATTGTTGGTGGTCTTCTTCTCTTTTGCTGACACTTCACCTTTCCAAGCATGATGTCCTTTTCCAAGGACCGGTCCCTTCTAACAATATGGCCCAGATCTGTGAGAAAAGATTGAAACTCAACAATTTCATCTTGCTTGAATCCACAAGCAACACCCTTGGCACCAGGAGTCAAGACATTAGAAGATGAATTGCACTGGGAAAGTTTGCTGTAAAGGAACTCTCCCAAAGTACTGAGGAGCAGTGATGTCAATTTGAAGACTAAGGTGCATCCGATTTAGGCCATGGTCTTTTCAGTCATTTGTTATGCATCTGAGAGCTGGACAATGAATAAGGATGATAGAGAAAGAATCTATGTCTTTTACTGTAGTATTGTGGAAGAATTTTGAGTATCTCATAGACTGCCAAAAGAATGATGAAAAAGATCTTTGAGAAAGTGCAACTGGGGTGCTCCTTGGAAGCAAGGATTGTGAAGCTTCATTTCACAGATCTAGGGCATATTGTTAGGAGGGGCCGGTCCTTAGAAAAGGACATCATGCTTGGAAAGGTGAAGTGTCAGCAAAAGAGAGGACCATGAACAATCTAGATTGACACAATTACTATAACAATGGGCTCAAGTATATCAGAGATGATGAGGATGGCACAGGATAGGGCAAGGCTTAGATTATGTGTTCTTAGAGTTTCTGTGAGTCGTGGTCAACTTGACAGCACCTAACAACAAGAAGAGGACAGGTGTCAGTATGAAGACCAAGATGTCAGTTTAAAGACCAAGGTACACCAAATCTATGACATTTTCTTTGCTTCCTGTGCATCAGAGATTGGACACTGAATTAGGAAGACCAAAGAAGAATTGGTGCATTTGAATTGTGGAGTTTTAGAAAAGTACTGAGGGATCCCATGGTTGTCAAAAGAAAAAATAAGTCAGTCTTGGAGGAATTGCAACCAGGGTGCTCTTTAGAAGCATGGACAGTGAACTTTGGGCTCACATTCTTTGGACATGTGTCAAGAGGGGTGAATCTTTAGGGAAAATATATAATACTGGGAAGTTGGAGGGCCACAGAAGAGGAGGAAAATCCTCAATACCACAGTGACTGCCACAGAGGGTTCAAGTATATCAGATCATGAGCATGACGGAGGATATGTTGTTGATAAGGTTGCTGCTATGAGCTGTATTCGTGCAAGAAAAGAGTTGAAATTAAACTATGACAGACACTATCACTTTAGAATTTTTATTTTGTGCTTAGTATGAGTTCAGTGTCTATAGGTATATAGATTCTTGCAATAAGTATATCTTTATAGTAGATGTATGTTGGGCCATTGAGTTGACTGCAACTCATCGCAACCCTGTGCACTCATAGGACCCTGCCATATCCCAAGCTGATCTCACTGCCTCCAACACACCTACACCCTTTATCCCAGTTATTGTGTCAATTTTCTCCAGGACCTCCCTCTCCTGCACTGTCCCTCAACCATTCCAAGCATGATGTCCTTCTCCAAGGCATTTCCAGCATATGTGAGATGGAGCTTAAAAATCCTTGTCTCCAGGGAGCAGCTTGGTTTCATCTGTTCTCTTGGCAGTCTTGGTATCTTCAGTGCTCTTCTCCAGCACCACAATTCAATAGCATCGATTCTTCTTCTGTCACCCTTAGTCATTGTCCACCTCTCTGGTACCTAGCAAGTAATTGCAAAGACCAGGGCCTGGATCAGGTGAACTAGATGTCTATAGACTGACACTGGTGTTTATAGTAGGTCTATGTTGTTGTTGTTGTTGTTGTTAAGTGCCGTCGAGTCACAGGTGACTCATAGCGACCCTATGAAGGAGAGTCCTCAAAGCTTGGGAGTAGGTCTATAGATTATCATAATTCATAATTCAGTCTTTGCAAGCATTTAAATGAATTTATATTTGGGGAAAATTTTTTTTAAAAAAAACTTATCCCTACTACTGGCCCATCTATATTGTTGTTATTAGGTGCTATTGAGTCAACTAAGACTCATGTTGATATTGTTGTTAGGTGCCATCGAGTTGAGTATAACTCATAGCATTCGTATAAGCAGTATAACTCAACTTCAACTTTGTCCTGTCTTTTGCCATCCTCATTGTCTCTGACACACTTGAGCCCGTTGCTGCCGTTATGTCAGTCTCTTGTTGAGCACCTTCCTCTCTTGCACTGACTATCTTTCCGAGCATGATGTTCTTTCCAATGAACAGCCTTTCCTAGCAACTTGCTCAGAGTATAAGAGACAGAGCTTCATCATCTTTGCCTCCAAGGAACACTCTGGCTGCACTTTTCTTAAGATAAATGTTTTTGTTCTGTGGCAATCCATAGTATGTTCTGTACTCTTCTCTAACACCACAACTCAAAGACATCAATTCTGTCATCCTTAATCAGATGCATAGCAAGTGATTGAACAGATCATGGCCTGTATCAGGCACACCTTGGTCTTCAAACTAACATCATTGCTCCTCAGTGGACTTTCCCAATGCAATACATCTCCGGATCTCCTAAATGCTGTTGCCAAGGGTGTTGATTGTGAGACCAAGTAAGAGGAAATGATTGACAATTTCAATCTTTTTTCCATCTATCGTAGTGTTGCCTCTTGGCCCAGTGATGAGTATATTTGCTTTCTTGATGTTGAGATGTAATCCATCTTGAAGGCTGTAGTTTTTGATCTTCTGAAAGTGTCTCAAATCCTCCTCAGTTCTGGCTCAGCAAAATTGTGTCATCTACATGACATAGGTTGTTGATGAGTCTTCTTCTGAATCCTGATAATCACATTTTCCATCATAGAGTCCAACTTCTTGAATGATTTGCTCAAGCTACAGATTGAATAGGTATGAAGAAAGGCTACAACCCTGATGCACAACTTTACTGATTTTAAACCATGTTTTAAGCCATGATGTGGCAAATGTGGTAATGGTTACTCATGGTGGACAGTGTTTGCTGGAGCTTCCAGACTAAAACAAGCCTGGAAGCAGGAGCAGCATCCACTTCCAAAATGACTTGCCTCTAGAAACTCTGTGTACAAACAGTGCTTAGGCCTTCCATTCATAGGGTCACTATGAGTTGTCTATGACTCGATGGCACCTAACAACAACAGCAGCACCATGATAGATGAAGAAAAGATTGAGGTTATTCACAATTACTGCTTGCTTGGCTCCACAGTCAACACTCTTGGCACCAGCAATCAGTAAATCAAAAGATGAATTGCACTAGGAAAATCTGCTGTCAGAGACCTCTTCAGAGTACTAAGAAACAACAGTGTTAGTCCAGAGACTAAGGTGTGACTGATCCAGGCCATGGTCTTCACAATTACTTGCTATGCATCAGAGAGTTGGACAGTGACTAAGGATGACAGAAGAAGAATCAGTTGCCTTTGAGTAGTAGTACTGGAGAAGAATCTTGAACATACCATGAATCTCCAAAAAAACAATTAAGTCTATCTTAGAGAGGGTGAAACCAGGTTTCTCCTTGGAGGCTAAGATTTTTTTTATATTAATTTAGTTTGTTTATTTTTCATTTCAATGAACATCTACAGATATTTTGGAATTCCATTCATTCATTGTTGCACCCTTCTCCCCGCACAAACCCCTCC